TATGTTAGAGAGCGGAAAGACATGATTAATTTTTGCACGGTAAAGGGACAATTTTAATATGATAAAAGTTGTAGCATTCTTTTTAACGAATCCAACGATGTGTAATATAACGACCTTGTTTTACAAACTATACAAATTATTTTGGTTTAAAGTTTTGTTGGCAACTGTTACCTTTTCGGCCCTGAGGTATGGCCAATTTCCGACTTTCGCGTTGACAATTAAGTAATGTTTTTATTTGATCATAGTACTTACGTCAGTGCGAGAGTCGAAAGTTGGCTACACCGCAGGGCCGAAATTGAAAAGGTAGTAGCTGCCCGCAAAACTTTAAACCAAAATAACTTTTATAATTAAAATAATTTCGTTATATCATACATCATTGTATTCGTTAAGAAGAACGCTACAACTTTTATCATAATAAAATTGTCACTTTACCGTGCAAAAATTAATCATGTCTATCCGCTCTCTAACATAGATAATATTTCTAAGTGATCACTAAGCTTACAATAAAGTTTAGTCAGAGCCATTTAATTTGATATTATATTTATTAGATCTATCTCTATTAGTTTACAAGATAAAACGGAGTGGCCTCTTATACGGGGATATCCTGTATATCAGCACACTCTTTGTCATAATTCTGATGATAAATTTACTAACATCGTTAGGTATCTGTAAAATTTATAGCTTTTCTGCCATCAAAAATTGGTAGCAGATTCTGCTTAAATTAATCTGTGCAAACCATCTATCTGGATATATTTTATCTTGCAGTGCATGCAAATTAGATAATTATATTTCTTCTGAATATTTTTTATATGAAATCAGTAACAAAAGGTTAATTTATTTATCTACAGCAAACATAAAAAAACTTACTATGAAGGAAGCTACTGCGCAAAGCTATATTTTTTTCCTAGCTGGCTTCGAAACTAGTTCGACGACGATGACATACGCTCTGTATGAAATGGCTCAACATCAAGATATACAAGACAAAGTTTGTGAAGAAATCGATGAAGTATTGGCAAAGTATGATGATTTAACCTATGATGCTGTAAATGAAATGCCATATCTTCACAAAGTAATAAATGGCAAGTATATTATCGCATTGTGTTTTCACTTAAGAGTTTTCACTTCAGAGATGTAATTTTTAACAAAAAAAAAGGATCAAAGATTTTGCAACATGAAAATAAATTTCTTACATATACTTTTATGTAAAATAAATTGCTTGTTTTCTGGAGGATATGTACTCTCATACATCTGTTTTCTCTTACATTTATGCAGAGACTATGAGGAAATATCCACCTCTTCCTGGTTTGAATCGCATCTGCACCAAGGAAATAGTTTTGCCGACAACGAATATTCGCGTGCCAAAGGGGACATTAATATCTATACCGGTGCTTGGACTGCATCGAGATCCATCAATATATCCAGACCCTGATAAATTTGATCCTGAACGATTCAGCGCAGAAGAGATAGCGAAAAGACATCGCTATGCTTACTTGCCATTTGGAGAAGGCCCACATATATGCATTGGTGAGGAAATGAATTAAGCTATTAGTATATAATTTACGTTTTGAACAATAATTGTTAAAAAATTAAGAATAAAATATATTCAAACTCCCTCTAATTAATAACAAAATTA